AATATTATAATTCCCAAAGATAATTATTATTAAGAAAATGTAAAAAAAGAAAATTTTATTCTTAAACGTGGCAAATTTTGTTATGTACGGCACAACACCGTGTATTAAGCTTTCTTTTCGCAGAAATTCTATTTTGAATGATGCCTATTACAATGGCTACAATCTGTTATTATCAGGTTTTAGGTAACTTAAGACATCAAAGCCTATAGAAATAAAAAGTTGCTACCAAAGTAAGTAATAATATAAGTTCAATTCAACTGTTATTTTATTATGTTACCAAAAAAACATATTCTCTTCTCTATAGAATGATAATGATCGCATATCTATTATTATGTTGTGAATTTAGAAATTTCACTTAAAATTTTAAAAATTTACGTCACATTACAATCAACATTACTACGTAAATAATTTTGTACAAACTTTGAATTTGTACAACTTTGAATTTTTCGTACTCCTATGGCTGATTTACAGAACCGGATTATTTCAAACCCAGGGTACAGTTAAAGCAACGGTTAAGGAACTTTCTGAGTTAAGTATGATAACGCGAAATGAAAAGCAAAATTAGTGGAAGAGAGGTAGAGTAATAGTAAAAAAAAAATAACTTTGAAAGATTTAAAAAGGAACCATCTATTTTGGTTGAAAAGATAGTCAAAAAAATGCCGACTGATTATTGAAAATTTTTTTTGTACTAATATGTATTATCTAATTACTATATACCCCAATTTCAAACGGCTTGATGTGCTAAATCAGAGTTAGTAAAGATGACTCATATATCAAACAAACTATTAGTCATGGTAAATAAATATTAGACTTATATCACGTGATAAGAAAATAATATAAAAAGGGTCTCTTCCTAACAAAAACTAGTAAAAAAACTCTCCTAACAAAAAAAAAAACTCTAACAGATAGGATACTCTATATAAACAATATGAACAAAAGTCTAATAATAATTTTGTTTCCGAGTTCTAAACCCTTCTAGCAAAAAAAAAAGATGACGGGACGGTCTATACGAACAACAAAAGGCTTTTATGGATAATAACGTTGCCTCCGACCTAACTGGGAGAAAATAAACGTTAAAGCCTACTGTCTAACAAATGTTACTGTTTACTGGAATTTTAAAGAGGTGGGTAGAGAGTACTATTCTATCACCCACTGGCCATAATCCTTGACTGCACACCGCGAAAGCAACGTGCGAAGGTTTATGAGGGCTGACCGAACGGCTTTAAAGGGTTGCAAACAGATGACTGGGGCCCATCATACGAGAACCCACCCCAGGGTTATATCTTTGAAAGTGAAGCCTTGGTTAAGGTACCTGAATATAAGTCATCAGGTTCAAATTCACCGTCTTGAAGATATAGTAGTTGGTCTGTCAAGTGCTCTGGAGTCACTCTTGCAAAGGATCTGATGGTCATAATAGAGAACATAGATGGTGGTGATGGATACCATGATATATACAGTCACTCCCGAAGTGTATGCTTATCCCTAAGGTAGTTGGGTTATGGCGTATAGCTACTTGTCAAAATGGTCACTGTTTACAATACCATTTTGGTGTCCAATATTATGACCTGTCATAATGGAGGACATAGATAGTAGTGAAGGATACCATATATATACAATAGTCACTCCCGAATTGTATGCTTATCCCTAAGGTAGTTGGGTTATGGTGTACAACCACTTGTCAAAATGGTCACTGTTTACAATACCATTTTGGTGTTCATTATTATGGCCTGAAGTGAATGAGCTAGAACTAACATAAGCTTTCAATATTAATTTATAGGAACCACCTGTAGAATGGCATGAGTGGAAAGAAACGCAACAAAGATACTGTAATTCCACTTCAAGAAATTAAATTGGTTCTTATTGCTTCAAATCTTTTCAGTTTACATTTTTTCCCTGTAAAAAAAATCGATCCATTTTTCATATTCCATCTTTTTTCCGTAAAACCTTATATCACGGAATTTATCGAATTATTTACATTTTCCGTGAATGGATCCGTGAAAGGCTCATTTTTACGGTTTTTTCGAAAATATCGGATAAAATTTTTTATAGGGTTTAAGCCCTTCAGTTTTTCGGCCACTTAAACTTTGGAGACACCGTAGTAAATCTCCATATATTTAGAAAAGGATATCCGGATAATCTTCAATCCGTCACTACGGATATCTGGATTGTATTTTATTAGACGGGATCGGATTGACGGATAATGGATTATCCACGGATTGAAATAAATAAATATAGATAAGCTAACATATATTAATTTGTGGTGATTATATACAGATTTTTAACGATTAAAATTTGAAATTTTATTTGCTTAAATTTATAATTCTGATCGGAAGTATATAATTGGCTCAATTATATATATAATGTTGTCATGTGACATATGATTATTTATTTTCAAAGTACCTAAATTTTTCCTTTAATCAATCCATAACGAGGATACCACACGACGCAAGAAGAATTACTATACTAAAACTCATGTTCTCATAGATCTAAAACTTCGTCGCGTTCACGCTCACGTAATCGCTCTACGCAATATCTTCAAACTCGCATTATTCCGGCTACTTCTAATGTAACGCCTCCATGGGTTATACTTAGGGATGATCTCTCATGTGGCCCTTTATCAAAACAAATATTCTTTTTTTAACTATGAATAGAGATTTTTATCTTTTTCTTTTTCTTTTCGAAAATTATAAAACGCGCCAACGCGCCATGGTGCTCAGCGCCATAGTTATATGATTTATGTATTTTTATTTGTTACTTTAACTATATTATTAGTAAATTAGCTAAGCTGATTCTATTAATATAATAATTATATTCCATTTCGTAGTATTTAACTCTGCAGCATATACTTTACATATATTCATATGTTTTTCAAAATTTTTTTATTTTACAATATTTGCAACATAAAAAAAAAAAATAGTACTAATTGAATCTTTTTTCTGACCATTTTCGAGAGTGCTGAGCAGTTTTATTAGTATAACTTGTTTAGTTTAGACTAAAGTTTTTGAGAAAACACACAGTATGGCGTTGAGCGCCAGTGGTGTGATTTAGTAAATCGTTTCTTTTAATTTAATTCTATATATTTCTTTTTACGATTCTAATCCTTTGCTTTGACAAGACCGGTCAAACCTAATATCTATTTGGACGATTCCTTGGATTTTTCCTTGGTGTTAGGTAGTAACGAGTATTTAAGTATCATTAGATAGATTTTCGGCTATAATATTGCATACATCTCTGTTCTTGTCGTTATAATAAAAACAAAAGTAAAATTAATTTTTCCTTTATACTGGCGACAGTGATTAGCATATGATGACGATTATAAAAGTGTATGTTGGCTTTATAATTTCGGGGCATTACAATTTGATAATAAACAGGATGTGATTATATATGGGGCGATTGTAGATATATCTGACTATAACTCTTGAAAATGTCTGCTATTCTAATAGTTTATACTTATTTTCATGTCAGCAGAATTCATAATTTATAACTCAATCCAGATAGCTTTCTCTGGATAGATAATTGCTACTTTAAATAACTTATGTATTACCAGAGATAGATTTGGATATAGACGCAGATTATACAATGATAAATTAATATGTAGCTTGAAATATAAAGATCATTACTGGAAATCTTAGAAAACCAGGAAAGAAACAAGCAACATTTAGTTGCTAAAGATTCTGAAAATGCCGAATGTAATGGAATAATAAAGAATATACATGCTAATACAGTTACAAAAGTTACACCATCAGAAGTTCCACCAAACAGTAACACTTCGAATACAAGTTTTATCAGAGAAGATCCGCCAGTTATCTATGCATAAGTCAATAATTATGTCATATGAAAGAAAAGCAAATCTAGGAAAGCAACAATACAAAAGCAAAGGGAAGAATGACAAAGATAAATCATTTCGAAAAAGTTTCTAAATTACCTTTATAGTATTATAATTCTTAAAATTAATCGCTCAAAAATTTCTACACCTTATATTATGTATACATCTTTTCAATAACGATGAATTACTTAGCAACCTTACTCTCATTGTTTTTTTTATTAGTAAATAAAATTTCTTGTATATCAAATTTTTTTTTTATACTCAGAATACTGTACGTGTCTTACGCCCTGAAGAAAAGTTCTGATTTGATTTGATCATATTTATTTCTAAAAGCGCTAACATGCTTCTCTCAACTATATAGTTATAAATTTTAATGCTCTTAATGAGTGAATATTCAAATATATTAAACTATTAACAATTTCCTCCTGCATCTTCAACCCCAATTAATTTTTACTCGAAAAAAAGAAATTTAAGAAATTATATTACTCAAGAAACAAAAAAGAAAAGTACAATGTAATAATACATCTTTATTTACACATGATTGAATCAAGATAAATGAATGGTGTAAAGAATCTAATACAAATATAACATACAGTATATATACAATTATTTTATATTACAAGAATCAAAATATGTAATATTTATTTACTTCCTTAACTAACTCTTTACTATATGTTATATTAATACCAAAAATATTGTAAATAAATAATTCCATTTCCGCACTCATATTGAAATCTGAAGTTAAAAAAGGTTTGATAATAATAGCCCAAAAGAAACTCATTATATCATAATAATAACTAGTATGTCCCATTTTATACATTACTTTAAATGTCAATATAATAATATTAATCAGTACATAAAAAATAATATAAAATAAGAAAATAATAGGAAACATTCCAGTTGATACTATAAATGAAAGTGGAAGGATAAAAATCAACACTATTATAGAAATCCATCTCTTATGATTTTTTAATATGTTTTCAATTGATTTTTTGGATATTTCAATAGATATATCAAAGAGGGTTACAAAATATTTTACAATGATAAAAATTGAAACTACCATCGTTAAATAGAATAATACAACAAGGATATAAGCGATAAAAATTGTGATCAAATCGAATAAGAAAACAAGTAAAAGAACTATTAATGACATTATAATTACACCAATATTAACTTTTTTCTTTGGAAATTTGGAGGAATGAAAATTCCAACACTCCTTTGAAAATTCTATAGAATCATTGATAGGTTTAAATATTAAAGAATCTATTAATAAATTTTTATCATCAGAATGCTCGCAAAATTGTTGATAAATTAATCGTGCAATTGCCGCCGTAGATGATATTAAATAAAATGGATATTCCGGTCTTCGTGCAATTGTTACTATTGGATTTATTATAGTGATAAATATTATATACGCAATAAACGTTATTACACAACATGGAATGTATAAAATGATTATAATAGGCGATAATATAAATAAATAAATTCTTATTCTAAATTTTTCTTCTTTCGTTGTAAAAATGAATGAATAAAGTTGAAATATTGAAGGAAGATACCAAATTAATGAAATGAAAAGATTTGGTATCAGAACAAGCAAACATACGGGTAAGATATAAATAATAAAATCTAGAATAATTATTATTATGATAGAAATAGAGTTTCTTAAGGACATTGTTTAAGGAACGATAAAAAAGTTAAAAAGTTTTACTGAAACCGCATTATTACGATTTTTGTATTAGTTTTTGTGATACGAAAATAAATTGCGTGCATGGAATTGCGACCAATCTTTGCAACGTCGATCGGAAGGACGGCTTTCACGTGTTTTATCCATAGTCTGACAATCCCGATATATAAGACTAGACTAATTGACTATCTTTTGAGTGACGTCGTTGACATAATAAACCTGACGTATGTAGTTAATATATATTTGGAATAAAACACAAATTTAAGTAAAATTTTTAAAGTATTTAAATTAACGCCGCATTATTTTTTTTAAAAAAACTTTCACCCAAAGGTTGTGAATATGACAACAAAAATTTTACAGGACTATACTCGATTATTAGAAAATGAAGAATATTGTGATGTTACGATAAATGTCGGTAAAGATCGTAATACAAAAATCTTTAAGGCACACAAGAATATTTTGTGTTACCGTTCTCCGCATTTAAAACGAGTTTTGGCTTCAAAGACTTCTATTGATTTTCCAAAAATCTCGCCAGAAATATTCAAAGTTGTATTAAAGTAAGTCATTCAGTCATATAAAATATTTATATTTAAATTCTCATAATCATTTTTTTTTTCTAAAAAGACAAATTATTATAATAAAGATATATTTATAGCGGAATTATCTCATTGGATGAAGAAGAATGTTCAAACATTTTAAAAATTTTGGTTATTGCGGATGAACTATTACTCCAAGGTCTAGTTGATCAAATACAAAAATATTTGGTCGATAATAAATCATCATGGATGGAACAACATTTTGAATTGGTTCATCAAACAAGTTTTCAATCAAATTATTTATTAAAACTTCAAAAATTTTGTACAAATTTTATGGCCCAATTTCCTGGAAAAATATTTAAATCATTTGATTTCACCAAGTTTCCGGAAAAATCTTTAACTTTACTTATTAAAAGAGATGATTTACAAATGAAAGAAATTGAAATTTGGGAAAATATATTAAAATGGGGTCTTGCGCAAAATTCAAATCTCATCTCAGATCCTGACACTTGGTTAGATGATGCAATGAAAAATACTTTACAAAATTGTTTACCTTTAATTAGATTTTATAGCTTATCATCTAAAGAATTCTTTCACAAAGTGGAACCATATAAAAAATTATTAAATCAACAACTTTATAAAGAATTGTTAAGTTCTCATATGGATCCAGATATTAAACCGAATGAAAATATTTCACTTCCTAGAAGTTTAAAAATTAATGGAATTATTGATTCAAAAATTGTTGATTTAAATATTGTTTCTTTAATTTCAAGATGGATTGATAAAGTGGATGTTAATATTAAATTTGCTCAATTTAGAGAATTATATTTACCATATAAATTTCAATTATTATTAAGAGGAAGTCGAGATGGATTTACTCCAAAAAGATTTCATGAATTATGTGATGATAAACCTTGTACTGTTACTTTTATTAAAATAAAAGGAACGGGAGAAATTATTGGTGGATATAATCCAACTGTATGGTTATCTTCTGGTGGTTGGGGCAAAATTAAGGATAGCTTTATATTTTCTTTTAGGAGCAAGAAGGAATTTTTCAAAGATCCAATTTTAAGTAAAGTGAAAGATTATAATTACGCATTAAATCGACTTCTTGAAAGACACGGTCCTTTTTTTGGCGGTGATATTTTGATATATTCGGAAGATAGCAGAACAAATTATAGTACGAGTTATTGTCAACAAACTTTTTATGAAAAGAAGATAAGAAATACCAAAGATAAATTTTCGATGGATGATTATGAAGTATTTCAACTCATAAGTAGGTAACTTACAATTTATAAAAAGGCCAGATCACTTGTATAATTACAATGAAAAATATATAAATAAAATCTTTTTAAAATCAATCAAAATGCAAATATCTTGTAGTAAACTTTATTGAGATCAGCTCTTTCATAAAAAATTAGTTGGTAATTCTACAAACATATATCCGTCTACGAAATAGTGCGAAGATAGTTTCTAATTGAGCGTGAATACGTGAATTCAAATCCAGTGTGCTTTTATTTTGTCGTCGTCACGTCATTGTCTACGTCATCCTGGAAATATTTTGATAAATTTGCAAGAAATTTATAAATCTTACGTATACAAGGTTACACCTTTATATATATTATCTAAATTCTATCTAGGATTTTGGTACGAAACTTGCCTGAAGATACGATCTAATTTCATTACTCTGAGGAAAAAAATATGATGAAAATTAAATAAAAGTAATAATACTACAACCAATCGTTTCCCGGCAGGACATTTTCCCGAAAGCCTAACACCGGCAGCTTGATCGCGTATTCCTACATAACTCCGGGAATACTTGTCGTCCGTCGGGAACTCGTGCCGTAACCTAACCAATTTCAAACATTATAATCTTGAAGATTTTCTTCGTAGTAATGATTCTTATGTAATCAAATTACGTAATGTGTAGATCATATTCAAAAGTATATAATGCCGGAATTGCACATTATGGAAACTTTATTCCGCATTTTATTTAAATTAAATTTTATTGAGTGAAACAAACATTGCATAATATAATATACATATTCATTTTCTTTTATAAAGAAAAAAAAAAATTATTTCTCTTTTAGTTAATATAATTAAATGACACCCGAACAAAATATTTCAAAAGTAAACTCGCCTATCGCAAGTCTTCCACCTGAACTTTTTGCCAAATTTTGCGCTTACTTACCACCGGCTGATTTATTTACCCTTTCTCAAGTTTGTCGTAAATTTCATGGATATTTATGTGCCCCAAATTCTTTTTCTACTCAACAAATATGGAAAGAATCACGTTTGAAATTTATGCCAAAAGAAGAAATGCCTCCGCCGAAAGGGATGAGTGAAAAAAATTATGTTGAATTATTAATGATGGACCGAGGTTGTCAAACTTGTAAACAAATCAAAATATGTAAAATTTATTGGGAATTTGAAGTTAGAATTTGTGAAGAATGCTTTTTGGTTAAAACTGTAAAGTAAGTTTTAATGAATTTTAATTTATTTTTAATTATTTTATTTTTATTTTATTTTTCTTTTCTTTTTTTTTTTAAAAAAAAAAAAGAAAGAAAGAAAAAAGTAATGGCATATTTATATTTATGATTTTATCGACGGACAAAAAAATTTTTTTTTTTTTTTTAAAAAAAAAATAATAATAATAATTTAGCGAGTATAAATTATTATGGTCAAATTATCCACAAGAATTCCTTAATACCATGCCACATACCTATTACTTTTATGGAAAATATTATTGGATAGAACAAATACATATTGCATATTCTCAATATTATAGTTTATCAAAGGAAGATTTAAAAACTTGGTTGGATAGTAAAAAACTCATTTTTGATTCTACAATGGAATATGCTACAAAACGTGGTATGAAACATGACACAAAGCGCCCCAGTCGTTTTTCAAGGCATAATTGAATGTAGAAAGTATTAGTTAAGGAGACGTGGGTAATATTTAAGGTGTAATTTAATAATATTTAATAAGTACTCAAACATTGCCTAATTTTTTTTTTTTTTGGAGAGGTGTTATGATAAATTGATAATGGGGTATTTTATATAACCTATTACTGTACATATATGTGAACTTTTTTTAAATAATAAAAATGATAACATAATTTAAAGCAAAGCATTTATACTTAATTACATGTAACGTTGTCATATTATGATGTAACTAATGGGTCATTAATTGACATTTGACGAGCATAAATAAAAAATAAAGAACAATAATTTTGTTTATATTCATAAAATATCCAACATATCTTCTCTATACTTTATTTCAACCCCACAACATATATAAATTATATCTTCGATTTCTAAGAATGGTTCTATAACAATTACCCAAATCAAGTCTATGACATCATAAAATCCATTCCTTCTATAAAGTTCAATCGATTTGGTAATTATACTAAATAATATGCTAGCTATAATCAAAAGAACAAGAGATATGCTAAAAAGACATAAAAAAATATATGCTAATATCGCAATGATAAAAAGAAACAATAACATAAAATAATAAAGTTTACGACGAGTGAACTTATGTAATAATTTTGATAATAAACCATTTATAAAACTATATAATTTTATTCTAAACATTAGGGAATAAGTAACTATTAATAATATAATATATGGTAGAATTAATATGATAATAGAAATGATTGCTATAAAGTCTAAAATACATATTGATTTAATAATCATAAATTTGCAAATATATGAATCGTCAAGTTTGATTCTTTTTGAAATTTTGACGGAATTAAAATACCAATTCTGTTTGATAAAAAGCATAACTTCTCTGATTCTTTCCAATACCAAAGAATCTGTTAAATTGTCTTCATTAGAAAAATCATTCTTATATTTATAAATTAAGCGTATTATTGCGACTGTTAAAGAAAGTGAATAAAGTGGATACTCAGATCTCTGTATGATTGTTATAAATGGGTTAATAAGTGAAAAAAAGATGCAATATCCAATAGAAAATATTATAGAGAATGGAATATATAAAATTATAATTATAGGTGAAAGCAAAAATAAATAAATTCTTATTCTTAAATCATATTCTTTTTCTATGAAAATAAATGAATATAGTTGATATATTGAAGGAAAATACCAGATTAATGTTACTATAAAGTTTATTATTAGGCTTAATATATATATAGGTATTAAATAGATAAAATCAAGAGGGATTAGAATTACAAGAGGAAAAAATTTCGCGTAAATCATTTTTTTTAAGAGAAAATAATTGCTGTGATTTGATTCATTTTATTTAATACTTAATATGTCGTACAAACATCATGTGTTTTTATCCCTCGATGATCTCTCGAATAAGTTGTATATACTGTGCGTCATTAAACAACGTTTCTGCAATTATTCAATCTTGTCAATAAAATCAAGTATTTGGTTTATAAACAATGATGCCATTATATTCGTTTAAATATCAAAAAAAGTTCATTCAAAATTAAAAACAGCAATTAAAAAAAAATACGTTTATAGTAATATGTAATATACGTAATCATGCATTGTGTAATGCAGATCACAACCTTATAAGCCCTATAAAATGAAATTAAGATTTTAATTCAATAATAAATAATATCCCTTTTGATTTCCTTAATAAAAATGCCACCAATTACAGATCTTCCACCTGAACTATTCATTGAAATATGCATTACCACCATCTGATTTATTCATTCTTTCTCAAGTATGTCGAAAATTTTATGGATATTTATGTGTTCCAACTTCTTCTACTACTCAACAAATATGGAAAGAATCATATTCACGATATATACCAAAAGAAAATATTCCTCAACCAAAAGGAATGAAAACAACAAAATATGTTGAATTATTAATGATGGAACGAGGTTGTCAAATTTGTAAGCAAGTTATGAGATGTAAAATTTATTGGGAATTTGAAGTTAGATGCTGTAAAGAATGCTTTTTAAAGAAAACCGTGACGTATGATTCTATTTAACTTTTAATTAAACAATATAAATGCCAATACAGTCAACTCTTTATAAATGCACTCCTCATATGATCATGTGCATAATTTTCAAAATGGTGCATTTAAAGAGGGTGTGCGCTTTTAGAGGGTAAAATAATTATAAACCAGATAAGCTTTGGACCGGACTAAAGGATGCATTTGTGGAGGGTATAAATAGTAGATACATTTATTATGGTTGATGCATTTATGGAGAGCTGACTGTAATGATATTTTGCAATAATTAACATAATATATATATTTTCTTTAAAAATTTAGTGAACTCGATAATTATCCAAAAGAATTGCTTAATATCATGCCATACGTGTGTTACAACCATGAGAAATATTATTGGATTGAACAAATAGATTTTGAGTACTTTAAATCTTATGGTCTATCAGAAAAAAACTTACCTATCCTGATTAGATGGTAAAAAACTCATTTATGAAATATATTTCTAATAAAATTAAAAATTTTATTTGAATTATTGTTTCAAGTGAGAATGAAATGGTAAGATTAACAAGTTATTTAAGATATAGTACTAATTAAACATGATTATGAACATCGTTAAGGTAAATTAAGATATTAAATCAAATTCGTTTTTAAAAAAAGAGAGAGGGAAAAGCAAAATTACAATATATATGATTATACTATCACGTCTTATGCTATATCTAAATTTCTTTATCAAAAAGATTTCTATTGGATAAATTGATAATTAAATAGTATATTGAACAATTAATTAGATCTGATCTATCACTACTATAATTATTTATAGCAAAAGATTCTTATTGATCATATATATTAACTATTATAATTTGAAGAATAACCATTGCCCTATAAAAAAAGTTGTCCAAACACTGTTCGGGAAAATTGACCCGTTCCGAACATTTACTTGACATATATTGGACAATTATCATGATATTGTACGTTTTTTATGTGGTCGAAAGTTCTCAATCTCTGCATCTTGTATTAAATTGTAACAAATATTGTATAATAACGTGCGAGTGTTCGGGAAATCGACCCCATTCCGAATATTTATCAGACAAACTTTTTTTATAGGGAATTGAAAAGCTTTAAAAATAAAATATCAACTGAAATTTTTTCAAATAATTGTTCAATTCCATCACTATTATTTTGAGAATAACATATTAATTAATTGATCCCTGAATATCGTATTTATTTTTTACAACTACCCTATAAAAATTTTATCCGTTATTTCTGTAAAAACTCCGTAAAAATGAGCCTTTCTCGGATCCATTCACGGAAAATGTAAATGATTCGATAAATTCCGTGATATAAGGTTATTAATTCCGGAAATATGAGCCTTTTACGGAAAAAAGACGGAATATAAAACGGATCGACTTTTTTACAGGGCTAAATGATTTTGAAAATGGATAATAAAAGGCCTATCAAATTTTAACTCGCCATAAATTTGTACTCTCCACAAATGTATCCTTTAGTCAGTCCCAAGCTTATATTTTTACTCTCCATAAATGCACATCCTCTTTAAATACATTATTTGGGAATTTATATATTTATGGTTCTAAGAGAGGTGATTTATAGAGAGTAACTACTATATTAGATTATGGAAGGAATGACGCCAAGATAAAGTAAGATAAAGAAAAAATCAAAAAAGTAATTTTAGTGATAATGAATATACTGTACAGGAGTCACGGGTAGAATACTAATTAATTATTTTAAATTGGGATCTCCAAAAATTGGGATCTCCAAAAAATCCGATATTCAATCTTAACGGTCACAGAATCTCGACGTTTAAAATCCTGCTGGTAAAATCCCGAAATTTATAAGTCTAAGATTCAAATAAATTTGTAATACGATAATCCCTTTAAAACCGCAATAATAAAGAAAAGTTGTACTATACTATTCCACGATCTTCCTGATTAAATAATCTGCTTTGGACGTCGCTCATCACATAGTAGCTTTAATTAAAATATTCATACATATCTACGCAAAGAATTATGAACACATTTCATATGCTTCCTATAGAAACAGTCAGAAAGTTAATTTATGGGATAATTTAATGATTCTTAGCTTTACAGAACTTATAAGATAAAACTTAACAATTTGTTTTATCATGGTTTTAATATCATTATAATCAAATTTTGTATTAAGAAAATATAATTATTATTTCTTTTTTTTTTTAGCTAATTCCGATTTAACTAGATAGATAATTTTATTTTTACAAAAATTTTAAAAAATGTATTCTTTTAAATTGTAACTGAAATTATTTATTTATTCATTAGTTTATGAAAGAAATTTTTATAAATAAATAATTCATGATATTATAGGGCAATTTATCTAAATTTTGACATAACGATAGACTATATAAGTTTTAACAATGAATTATTTCTAGGAAAATCTATTGTATTTGTTTCCTTTAAAATTTGGCCAGTTGGATAATTATAATATGCATTATTATAAATTTAATATGCTTTCAAATTTTCATATTTTTTTTATTATTTATTTTAGGATGATTCAATTAATGGGCATTTTTTATTTTAATAACAATTTGTCTCAGCCAAAGTATTGTGTATATAAATTAAAAATAATAAATATGACTTATTCAGAATTCAAATCTAGATTTGTAGGTTGGTGGTGGTGAAGTTGATGAAATTATAACTTCTAAAATTCTAACAATTTCATCAATTTTAGGACGCTTTTCAGGGTTTTCATCCCAGCACTCTGTATAAAAATCATAATATTCATCAGGTGTTGGATTTACTCTTTGTTCTCGAACTCCATTAGCAAGTTTTGTCATAACCATAAAATCGGAAAGTTCAGGTATTTTTCCGCATGATATTTCCCATAATAATACTCCAAAGCTAAATATATCAGATGCCTTAAATCTTTTATATCCTTTCTGCTTATGACATTATGGATCCCTTTCAAAAGAGAATTTGATGTTATTAAAGATTCTTCTTTCGATAAACCAAAATCTGCAATTAACATTCCACCTCGATGAACCAATACATTTTATTGAATAAATAAAAAAAAATTTAAATGATTTAATAACATTAGATTATATATATCAAATTTTAACTCGTATATATACATATTTAGAAAAACGCATAAATTGGTTATACATGACTGATATACTAATTTATAAAAGCACCATCAGAATGGCAGATTGGGATGCAATCTTTCTTTTGCCTTGACCAAACATCATGTTATGTAAGTAAATCACCAAAACATTACGAAAGAAAAAAGGGGCAAAAAAGGATTTCGCCAAAAAATTAATAATAATAAAAAACTAAAAAATTAAAAAAAAAGTAAATAGAATTAAAAACTTAAACAAGGATTGAGCGTGGGTCCGTATTTTTTTTTACTACTTGAAGTGTACTTAAAATTTTCAATTGATTTCACGTGATATACACGTTATGAAATGACGACCATAGCGTCGCCTCCAAAAAATGGTAGCCGGATTATTTTGCCGGTTCTTTAGTGTTAGGGTTAGGATTAGGGTTGGGATTAGGGTAAGGGGATTAGGATTAGGATTAGGATTAGGGTAAGGGGATTAAGGGTTAGGAATTCGTCACATAATGTCACACCTAACGTTTCTTTAATTTTATAATTATTCTGAGGACTTAGAAAATTTTTTATACGTAAAGTACTAAATGTCACGTATTATTTATCACCTCTCAATAATATATGTAACCCGGCAAATTAGAACCGGCTACCATTTTTTGGAGGCGACGCTAGGGTGGTTGTTATGAAATAGTGTGTTATAGCAACTCCGATAGATAACGTAAATTCCAGTAGGCAGTGCTGAAGTGCTATCACTAGGTACCCAAAAGAATGACTGTCATTATAAACTAACAAGTATAACTTATTGTGTAAATGGTGCTGAACAGGGGATAATCTATAAGCTCATTAAATATCGGCATTCTATATGCATTTATTTGTGAGTTTTTAAATCTGTTAAATATTTATATTAAAAAAAAATTGCGTTAAAGTGAAGGGTTAATATGTACAGTCAAATAAAATAATCAATATAATTCTTGTAATAAAATTGTAACCAGACATACAACATTTGAAGGTGAAGAATGAGAGCTTTTCTAAAGAACCAAATTTCATATTAATTGATTTATTAATAAATGCGCCCAATACATTTATGTATAATTTTAAATTTGAAAATCAATATTTCAACATCATGTAGTGATGATTCAATTATTCGAAAATTAAATTCTCATATAAAATATGAATTATTTCCGTGTTTTTACAAAGATCTCGTATTCCATCTAAAAGGAGTGTGTCATTTGCTATTTATACTCTTAACTATGGTAAAATGCTACGTTGCCACATGAAATTTTGATTTTATCCTATCATTGTTTTATCCAAAATTTTAAATTTAAACGAAAGTTTATTTATAAATTTCTCAACAATCCTTTAATGAACGAAAGTAACTAAAATATTTTGATTTGGCCCCGACCGGTTCGAATCAACTCAGGATAATTATCCGATTCTTCGAGCAGGGTATAAATCCGTATAATCCCTGTAAATTATGAGCGCGAACATCATTTTATTTACAAGGTAAAAATTATTGTTTATTTGTGAGACTATTAAACATTAAACAAGCGTTTCAGGGAGCAGCGGCAAAAGATGTGTCTGAAATCAAAATATTCGTACGTATGTTTGAAACCTTGGTGGAAGAAGAATTTTTTAAAAAAATGATCAATAGTATTTATCCTTAAACGGGTCGGGTATAGGGATTGGAATCGATTCCCATTATTAGAATCGATTCTAAAATCGATTAATCGCGATTAATCGTTTCGCAAATACCGATTTTTTTTTATACTATTTATAATAGGTGTGTTTAAATCTTCCCCAGTATCGCCAGAAAATTTTTTCACCCCCACGTGACCCTAAATAATTTGTCACCCGTGTCACATCCCTCCACTTTCTCATTTTTTATAAGTATTCTGGGGACAGAGATTTTTTTCGGTGTCTAAAATCCTATTCGTCACACGTTATTCGACACATGGTTAATTTCTTAATTCCAGCCAAATCTCATAATGCCGGCCAAAGTCACGTGGGGGTGAAAAAATTTTCTGGCGATACTGGGGTAGATGTGTGTTTAAACACATATCACGTGATTACAAAAAATTACAGTGATCGACGAACAAATTTCCTTTTTGGAAATTTGTACAACCTTGTGCGATAGCAACTTGAATTTTATTGGGAGATAAAATTTCCTTTTTAGGAAGTTTGTGTTCCGTCACGTGATTCGCGGGCGGAATTATGAATTTGGCCAAAATTAACTATTATGAACAAATAATAATTTACGGTCAAATTAACGAAACTGCGCCACAATAAGTAGATTCGATTTTTATTCGAGATTCGATTTAAAATCGATTCTTATCGATTTTCGATAGTTTCGATTTTAATCGAATCTTTTCCGATCCCTAGTCGGGTACATCATTGATACTTTGTTGGCGATAATTGAAAAATTTAAAGAATACCATAAAGACAAGTGAATTATAATTTATAAATATTAAGTTTATTCTCAGTTTAATATAATTATAAAGAATACAAACTGGCGCGTTGGTATTACATAAAATACTAACCGTTTGAGTAATAGAATTTGACGTTACTGAGTATAGTACCATATCCTCTTGAAAAATTTGAAAACATTTACCGTAATTCTATTGAGATTCATTTAAAGGTTTAATAATCAATGGCTATATACTATGTTAGACGGTAAATTGCAACAGTTTCGTAAGGCACAAATGCGAAGTTATACAGAAAATTTTTCATGATGTTTTACGGATTTGAATCATTGTAACAATTTATATTTATAATTGCGGTCTACAAAAATTAGAACTCGAAATTCTTAAAATGTAAAAAAGTCAGATATTTTGAACATAGCGTAGACTTTAATATTAGGATTAACATCAAAGCACAATGATATATGAAACGAACTGTCGAAGTATAAATCTTTATTATTATTATTTATAACATAAATATTGGAATAATATTTCTGCAATTATATAATTTATTATTTATGGTAATATCTTTTATTTTGAAGTTGAAATATTTATTTTCATTTATTCTTAATTGTAATCAGATTTGATGATTTGCCAAACTAGTATACGATTACTTGTGTGGATATTACGACCAGATGGCTCACTTATTATCGATAATCGATATTATAAAATACATACTGCAATTCCACCGTTAAGAGATATTTAATGATAATTCATCTTTTCTCATCTTGAAGTTCTGAAAAACTCGGTAGTTACTTCACAATCGTCGTTACATTCATTGTTATCATAACATCAAGATATTCCAAGTTCTACTACTGCTGGTAGTAGTGGTAGTAATGATGGTATTAGTAATATTGGATATGATCGTGATACTGGTTATTTTCATAAAAAGATCATATTTTCCGTGATTTTCATTAAATTATATGCATTCTCATATTTTAATAAATATCTTGATATAACCGTTTTTATGATCGGTCAATGATTGGAAATCATATCTAGGACAGGACAAATCATGATATACTCGTTTATTATTCACTAAAATTTGATTTGTTACACTCTCATAATCGAATGCTACTTCAACCATATGATGATGGTAAAATTTATATATAACGGAGAGTCAGAATAACGAAAGTCTGTGATGCGATAAAATATTAATTCAGTCTTACTTTATTCTCTGCTGCACCTGATATTTCACGGAAAAGTAACGCTGTTGGCTTACATACAGGCCATGACTTAAGTTAAATCAGTGCTAAATATTTAAGGAAAAGCCTTATTGATAAATAAAACAAATCGTAAATAATTTGTCAGATAAATATCCTTAAATAATAATACTTTATACTATAAAATGAGCTATTAATCAATAAAAAAATGTATATAAATATCTCAAATAATAAATCAATTTTAATCACCACAGATTCTTCTTTTTTAAAAAAGTAATATTGGTACACCCCGCGTTTCATATAAATGTTCTCCATGCACGCCATTCACAGTTAGGAAGATACAGTTCTAAAACGGTTCCACGCAATTCTCTTTTGATTCAACCATTATTTATCAAATAATTGTACCACTTAATCTCATATAAAGTTTTTCTTCTCAAGTGATAATTATAAAGATTTTCTAAATCTTCTATCTGTAACGGTGTGTGAGCCCTTATGAAGTCCAACAATTTCGCCGCGTTCAAAAGGAGTACGCTCACGAGTTTCGGCATTTTTTTACAGAAAAAATACTTTAAAAGAATGAATACTTTTGAGCACCGACTGTAGACGCTATGATCTTTTCCGCAACCACCGCAAGAGGTTTCTTTTATAAAAAAAATATTAGTATGCTTTATATGAAAGTCAATAAAAAGAAAAGATGAGATAAAGACGATAATGACGATAATGAAAATGATAATGACAAAGACGACAACGATTCCACCTCGATGAACAAATACGTTTTTGAATGCTAAATAATAAAATTAAAAAAAAATTAAAAGAAAATTTTCATTTTAATACAATTAAACTTACTATATCCATATTCTGCATGCTATTTCAAGTGCAATACATTTCATCATCAGCATACTGCAATAACATTGTGAAACCAAATACAGGATCTAACAAATTTTATATTATTCAGTGTTTATAGTGATATTATGCACATAAATTAATTAAAAAATAACATTAACAAACATATTTACTTGTAAGAATATTTATTAAAACTACTGTACCTCTCTAATAAATTCTTTCCAGACGGATTCGTCAATTCAACTAACGAGCTAATTATTAGAATTTTTAAAGCCGCAGCCATCTTACGACTATTTCACATACAGTACCGCTTTCTCCTTCTTCAACACTTATTATATCTGAGAATTTAATATTTAATATGGGTTGTTTCTATTTGAGATTTTTGAGATTCAAACCAAAGGGTGTAAAAATATACAGTAGAAGTCTGGTCAAATTTTGGACCACATGACCAATTATGTCTTGTACAATTGTATTGCAGTGTTTAAAAACCCTCTAAATAATCTAATAATCTTTTTTTGATGTAATACTTTTCTAATCATAATTTAGGTCATAGACATTTAGCATAATGTACAACGATTTTAATTCATTTAATCTCATACAGATTTAAAAGCATACAAATACAGCGCGTTACATTACACTATATCACGAAATTAATATGAACATATCTCATAACTCATGTCATAAATACGAAACATTGGTTCCCCATATAAATTTAATTAATGATAAGTGGCTAATTTATACTCACGATAAAATACTATCCGAAATCCCAGAGATGCAACGTTTGTGTATCAATTTTTTGTCATACTTTCTTCAGGTCTAACTTATGAAATCTGCGCAATGATCTTTGTTGTTGGCAAGCACACCATTAATTCCGCCTCACCATTTTCAACAAGGTTACGCAAACGGTAAAGAAGCTTTGTGTAGAGAAGTGAAATTGAAGCAGATATGTTTAAGAGAAACAGACAAAAGATCAAGATCCTGCAAGTAGATATATTAAGTTTCACAAAGCGTGTTGTCCAATGAAAGAGGTAGAAAAAATCATTCTCATTTGATCTTGTTGCTTATACTGTCCTCAACCAAGTTAAAGAATTATGATTGATTCAAAATTAGATACGAAATTGAAAATAGAAGTAACAGTAATAAATAACCTGCTTGAAAAATAATAATATAACTTACGCGATGAATTGATACTATGTTCGCAAAGATGGAACTTAATAATTCGCGTGAAAATCCTTTTTGATTTTCACAAAGTCTTTGCAGTTAAGCGTGTTGAGAAAAATAGTGATATACAACTAATTGAATTCATTCCAAATTTAATTTGCATCCAAATGTTTTATGTCTTATTATTAATAATTTAATCCTGTGACCCGATTTTAAATGGGTTCTTCGTTGTCATTGTTCGTGACACTGCAAAAACGTAGTTAAAATGGAAAATAACGTGGTAAAAACTCTCTTCATTCGGACAATGAACGAGAACATTTTATAAAAAAGAAGCTGCAAACATCAACAATGTTCTAGCCGTCCTATCAAGTAAGCTCTCAATGAAACCTGATTGAAAACTGAAACGAGCTTAAATTAGTATCATATGATTCGTTTGATACCCCATAAAAAATTATTTTTATAGAGATGGGATGTTACTTTAGCATTTTTTTCAATATCTTTTCGGCTTCTAAACTTCTCAAACTTACCTCTAATACACAGTTGAGATAACAGATCAGTGAGTTGACCGTCTCATTGAAGTTATCAGATAATTTATTATATTACATTTTCCCTTACAAGAACTTAAAGTGAAGAAGTACGAACGCTTCAGTGTATAGTATATATAGTACAACACAACCTAATACTTACATCTTGATAACGTGCTAAATCGCTAATAGCTAATTTATAAACATTACTTTGAAAGTAAACAATAATTAATTTTCTTTGCTTTATTCTATCCGTAGAAATTTCTTCAAGGTAGTTTTAACAGACTTCCGAAATATCTAAAAAGTCTATGAATCAGAATGTATCGTTATATCCCTCGTTATGTAAAATCATTTTCATCTAATACACGTTGATAACCGTTCGTTCAGTCATTATATACTTTCGTGTAATAATAAAGTTCCTTGATGTAATTTCACTCTCTTGTTTGTCTCAGACTTATCTCGGAGCCTTACCTTTAAAACCTGCAATAATCCAACTTTTTTTACACCATTACATTAATGTTTCGACATTTATAATCATCATAAATTCTTAATTCTCCTCCCGATACTCTGATGGAATATATAATTTAACGCGATTCCCCGAGCAATTCCATATTCTACACTTCGGATTTAAAAAATAGGAATGTCCCCCTTGATTTTGTTATTAATAACATAAATCCTTAATTTTGATTAAAAAAACCATATTTTAGCAAAATATTATTCATTTGAAACTATCAAAACAATTATACTTCTTTTTTAAAAAGACAAGAATTCAGAAGTGTTACGTATAAATAGGCGTGAGAACTTGAGCTATCATCAATCCAACTTATTATGAGTTTGATGAGTCATCGTAAAACATTATACCATGTGACAAAAATTTATAGTTTCACTGCGCCAGAATTTATTTTACTTTTAAAAGTAAATCATCGAGAGGCTTGTATCAACGTTTTTCTTGCGACAAAAAAACTATCATCATTTACCAAAATTTTAATATCATCGGCTATACAAACTTTTTTTCAGATTATTTGATTTATTTCTTTTCTTTTTTCTTTCAAAAGTTTTAGTAACTAAAATTAAAAAAAATGTCTGAAATTGATTCGAAAAAACGTACCAGAAGTAAAACCAAAAATGATGATGTTTCGTTAAATAAACCTCAACCTAAAAAAAGTCGTGGCAAAGCAATTAAAAAAGAAATTAAAGACGAAAACCCGCCTGAATCTGATGCGCCTCCAAGTTTAGAAAATAATAACGAAGTTGAAGGTGTCAGCAGTCAAGGTAAATTAAATTGCTTAAAATTGCTTTACGTAATTTTCATTCAGCTTGATTGATGTTTAATTAAAATTTTTTTAGCACAATCGAAGAAATGGACACCGGAGCAACGGTTACAGTTAATTGAAGCAGTTCTTAAACATGTTAAAGTACCTTGGGACGAAGTAAGTAATGAAGTTGATGGCGGGAAAAATGGGAAAATGTGCTATGATCAATGGAGAAGAAAAATTGTACCGGGTTTAAAAACCTACATCAACTCTGATCATGAGCATTAGGAAGCAAGAGAATAAAAAAGGAAGTTTGTCATTTTCTTTGTTTTATTTTATCTATCGTAATTATTCTCTTTTTTTTTGTATTTGAATTATTAATTATTATTACACAATAAATTCAAATTTCAATGTATCGATGTTTTTATAAAATTTATAAATAACCTGTACTGAATTTTAAAAATCTTTATTTGGTTAAATATTAATAATACAAAAAGAGAAAAGAAAGAAATACAAATAGTTTCATCAATTTAGTGACTTAAACAGGCCATTTGCTTCGTCTGATTCGTTTATTTCTAATTTTTCACCGTCTTTCAAATTATCTAATTTTTCGAAAAATTCATCACCGCCTTCAATCATCGTGGGTTCAGGAGCTTTGCCATCTTTTTCCAATTCTTTGACAGGAGGTAATTTAGTAATCATTTCTATTTTCCTATGAATATATTCAGGTGGTTCAGAACCAATACCGAGCCTTAATAGCGCCATAATATAACCTTGCCTGGCAGATTTTTTATACCATTGCAATGATTTCTCTTCGTCTTTTTTCACGCCTAATAAACCCTTTTCATATAACTCTCCTAAAGAAAATTGGGCTTGATAATGATCATGTTTTGCGGCTTTAATATACCAGATTAAAGCTTTTTGTTCGTCAATTCCATCAACTCCACGACCATTTCTGTACATGTCACCAAGCGTAACTTGAGCCATTGAATTACCACTTTCTGCTGATCTGGTATACCAATACAAAGCCTTTTCCGAATCTTTTTCTTTTGTACCAAAGCCTTTTTCACATAACTTTGCAAGACAAAATTGTGAATCTCCAACATAAGTTATAACAGGATTTGCATCTTTATATTCTGCAACTTTAGAATACCATTCAAAAGCCTTTTCATCACTTTTTTCAATCCCTTGTCCGTTCTCATAAGCATTAGCCAACAACATTTGTGCTCGTGCAAATCCTTTCTCGGCAGCTTCTTTAAATAATTTTACAGCTTCAACTTCATCTTTCTTTATACTTTCACCGCTAAGATATAATAATCCGAGATTGAATTTTGCATTGACGTCACCTAAATCAGATGCTTTCCTATAATATTTTGCGGCCTCGTAAACATCTTTGGGAATACCAACTCCATTCTGATATAATATTCCTAGAATATTTCCCGAAACGCCATCTCCACATTGATTATGTGCTTTTCTAAATAATTTGATAGAATCTTTGAGATTTTGATTCGTTTGTTCTCCAACTAAATACATTATAGCTGAATTTCTCATTGCAACACCATTCCCTTGATCTGCTGCTTTTGTATAATAGACAAGTGCTTCTTTTGGGTCATATATTGAACTTTTTTCTTTAGAATAAATATATCCAAGACAAAGATTTCCTTCAACAAGTCCTTGGTCTGAACATTTTTTAAACCATTCGAGTGCTTTGTTGTCATCTTGTTCAGTTTCAGCTGATTCAATATATTTTGCATACAAAAGACCTAAAATTAATTGAGCACTAGTAACTCCAAGTTCTGCGAGTTCTTTAATATTATCTACATTTTCCTTAGTAAAATTTTCTTTGGAATTTTTATCTTCGTTTAATTTCTTGAAAAAAATTTCGTAAACGCCAAGTTTAAATTCATAATTTTCGATTAAATTTGCAATTTCTTCATCCTTAATCCATTCTACCAACTCCTTTCTAGAATTATTTTTATTTGATTTACCACAAACAAATTTTATTGAATCACTTTTATTAGAAGAAAGTTTGATACATTTTATTGTGATTTTCTTCGTAACATCGTTAGAAAATTTTTGTAAATCTATAGGATTTGAAGCAATTGTAAAATTTGGCAAAAGATCATTTGAAATGTTTTGTGTTTCATAAAATGATGATAAAGTTTTATTAACAGCAGAGCGGGACGACATTTTTTTTTTTTTTTTTTTTTTTTTTTTTTTTAAAAAAAGAAATTACTCATTGTTCATAGCATTGAATGTTGAATGCCAAAATGATCGTTATAAAAGAAAACTTTGTTTATAGTGTTACATTCTACATTGCATTTAGGCGTCATTGATTTTGATCACCTGAATACAGTGTGTTACTTTTAGATGTTACAATTTCACGTGACCAGAACTAAACTAGTTTTTCAAAATTTAGATGAAACTGTCGGAATTAAAATCGCGGCTATCAAATCACATTTTTTATCTAAATCACACCATACTTTTTGGGTCGCACCATGAAATTCTGGATATCTTAATGTTATTGTAACAATATTTTATATAGCTGTGAATAATCAAACGAATATATGCATGCTAATAAAATTAAATTATATTTGTGAGACAGGATAAGGATAGTACATTTTGACCATTTCTTTTTCGTAGAAAAATTAGTATTTTTTTAACCAACTTTTTCCTGTTAACAATTTACAATTGGTGATCATTACGTTGATCATAGAACCATTCATACCTACTGTATTGTTCGGATCTGATGCCACAGATCTACAATTAAGCATTGTACAGTACGACACAAGCCCATGAAAAATAGATGTCCGAAAAAGTGTCCAATTGGACACACTGACATTTTGGTTAGAACCTTCCCGGATATTACCTTTTCAAGGGGAAGAGGATACAAATGACCTGGTTTGCTTTTATTTCTCTGGATATAGTACTATTGTGATTACAAATTCAGTAATACACATTGTAAGGTTTACTATATTAAGTCTTTAAGCTCGGGAATTAATATTTTTACTTGTGCAAAAGCAAAAATTGTATTACGGTAGTTATATCAACAAATCCCTTAGATAATTGATTATATTTATACTCCTCTATTTGCTGACAAAATATCTTAAAAATATTCGTCATTCCCAAAGTATTAAATATTATGAGTACTTATAAGTTCATAAAATTATTTCAATTTTTCATTTTTAAACTTTTTTAATTTTTTCCACTTTTTGACTTTAACTCGTTACTCGATCTTTATTTTTGTACTTAGCACTATCCACAATTAAAATATGTTATATAAAAATAAAACATGTGCGTTCTAGTATTTGGACAGTCTAATAAGTTCTACAACCACCAAAGTATTGTATTAAAATATAATTCGTTCCATTCTGCAATCTTAGACTAAAACTCTAATAAAGTAATGTATTATTCTACAATCTTAGACGAATATTAATACAAAGGTATTAAACAAGATGTTCCAGAATTCGTTAATATTCCTGAAATTGATCCATCTTTAATTCTGCGATTAGTTTTGATACGTGATAATGAGAATAAAGAAATTGGAAGAACAATCCAAACAAGAATCATTTTCAGTAAAATGATACCATGAAACTGTTATGACTTTTAGTCAATTGATACAAGAAGAAATTTGGTTCTTAATTTTTCTTTCATCACATCATTGGAGATGGAATGAGTAAATTGGTTTTAATTTTTGATTTCATAAATTATTTAATAATCCTGATTCCAATTCAAACAGGAGGAAATTGGATTTCATCATCAAAAATCCTATGATTCCAGCACCGATCGATTTATCATTTCTTGAACGAGTTAAAAACTTATTCAGAGAAGCTGTATTGGCTGGTGAAGTTCGCGTACTTGATACCACCTCTTTAAAACTAGTGATCCCATTCTCGTTAAAGATACATACTCATTCTAAGCGTATGAAATTATTCTGCATTCAGTGATTCATACAGCCGATAAACCACTATTTGGAGACTACCTGGCACAATTTACGTGTGATTTTAAGAAAACCGCATTATAGTCACATGATTTTTCAAAAATGGTCTAAAATAAAATTAAATTAATTGAGAACATTATCTCTATTTCTAAAATAAATACCATGCTCCATATTATTTGTGTATATACATATATATATTATAATAAAGAAAATTATGTAATGTAAAGGCACAAATAAATTAAAGTTACACCTTTAATTACATGGGAAAAATGGGAAAATGATATTAGGCTAGATTAGTGGGCATATGAAATTTCATAATCCAATCGGTTGGTCACTTGCTATGGTGATGATCCCCATTTATTGAATGCAGAGGAAATATTGAAAAAGGTAAACTATCTCGAAATGGCATCGACGCAACAATGTGCATCATCACCAGTTTCGATGGAAGCGATATGGGGAGCCTTTGATTAGTAAATCTATCGATGAGAACTACGATCTTTGGCACATGGCAAAAAAGCGGAGAATCGAATTTGCATAAAGCATGTAAAGAATTTGGAAAGAATTTGATGGATATTTTAATTATGTATTTTTAAAAACACACGATTTATTTATTTGATATATTTAATACATGTTTTAAATAAATTAAATAAATGAGTGCGATTTGGTTGACAAGTTATTATTTTATTCAAGTGAGTCCGAAAATCCTCATAAAATCGGAATGATCTTAAATGAAAAAGCAATAACTAAGAAGTTTTTCAGTATATGATCTGCTTTTTTATTTGTTATATTTGATATCTGTTTAGTACTAAAAGATATATATTTACGGAAATGGAGCATGCAAGGTGATCTATCGACTCTATCGTGTAAGAACAAAGAACGTACATAAATCATCGTCAATCCAATAATAAATTTTAATTCTCAAAAAATTCTCTTAATATGTACAATATATGTACAATATATGTACATTAGAGCATTAAAAGTCACTGGCAGTATGACTAAATATTCATGATTGAATAATGAAAACGTCCGATGAAGTCTTGAGAGTGCTAAGGTATGGGAGTTGTGTGGAATTATGAGTGGGTTGTGAAGTCTCGTTATGGGATATGTAGTAGTTTCTATTTCTTTTTTAATAAAAGCGAAATGACACTAATAGTTTCATAATTTTTAAGTGAATTTCTAGCTAATTTCACAAAAGCAATGAAATTATTTGTAATTGATATTGTTTCAAATTGATAACTAATTGATAACTACAAAAAAAGTAATTGTTATTGGACAAAAGACCTCAGTTATTGGCTTATTGAAAATGTAATAATTTATTTTCCTGAACTAAGAATAATAAAGAATTCTGTAATTTCTTATTTTAAGAAAAAGGAAACAGGAATAAATATATAAAGTATATCTATAATCAAATTTTTCATCACCAATAAAATTTATTTCATTGATAAGTGTTAATATATGTTCTTTCAGTATGGATATATTATGATAAAGTAACCAGACTTCCTAAGGGAGATGTAACATTGACTTATGAGTATGCCGACTCAATAGCAGCTGCAATAAAGTATTTCAATGAAAAAGTTCCTTGATCAGGTTCAGGCTTATTGCTTTTAATATAATATAAATTTGCATTAATAAAAAAATTTTTCTAGTTTTTTAATATATTGTTTTCTTAGAATCAAATCAAGAGGCGTGAAATTTTGTTTTTCTCATAAATATAAAAAATATGTATAAATTTCAAATATTAAATGTTAGGAGCACATTGATTTTTTTTTACTACTACTCAATTATTTCAATGTTATAAAATCAATCGAATTCTAACAAGTTAAAAATCTTGTAGATCCATTGAAAAGCCACCGAAATGGCGCAGTAATCTATATAGATTTGTTTGTCTAAATCATTTTTCGCCAATTTATTTAATTATTCTTACATATATTAATTTACAACATAACCCAAATAAAATACTTACCTTTATAAAAGGTAATTATGAATCTTAAAAGAAATAAACTGATAAATAATTTTTTTCTTCTAAATTCTAAACCTATTTATAAATGAGAGTTCAATATTAGTTATCGAAAACAAAATGATGATTATAAAAAATTTTTTAATAAAAAAAAAAAATACCTCTTTGATTGGAAATTCTAAATTTTTGTTTTGCAAAAAAATATTATCACTATATAGCAACTGCTCGTAATATCTGCCCCCACTGATAATACTCCTACAAAATACCCAGGTCTAATATAAAAAGTTTTAATTTCTTAAAAGTGCTTAATTCTGACGGGTATCATGTGCAGTGCAATATATACAATATTGCAAAAGGTTCAATTTATCCAATTTCATTATATATTAACAGCTTAATAAATCTTTCTATTTTTTTTTTATAATTATTAGCCTTGCACTCCTTTTTCTATAATAAAAAAATTAAATTTCTAATAATTAATAATGTCCAAATCTAAGAAAGTTTCGGTAATGTTAATAAAAAGTTTCTGCAGGCAAATATAATTTCATATATTAATTTCTTCATATTCCTTAATAAAGTATTTGCTTCGATTCTCGTTCAAGAAACTATTAATTAAAAAAAAAATTGTTAATAAATAATATTTTTTTTTCTTTCCTTCGTAAATTATAAATGAAAACATTTACTTTAAGAATTCTGATAAGTGAACTTTCAAGACGTTTATAGTCTCCAAGCTAAGGAATGTATTTGCCATTAACAATGGAAACTCAACTATAAAATGAAATCAACTTACTTAATTTATAAATTCTAAAGAATTATATATTATACGCGATTTAATTAAAAATCTTACCGAATAATCTCAGAAGATGCTCAGCACCGAAAATCTGAGAGTTATCCAAATGTTCGTAATTTAGCCGTGTGGCTCTATACTGTTTTCTCTCATTTTTATAAAGTAACCGAGTACCTACGCATTTATTGAAATAAAAATGCAGACCGTTGATAACTTCCTGTTCGATTCCATCATCGCTAATTAATGAAATTAAATTTTGTATTAGATAAATAAGCAAATTAGATAATAAATAACTTTCTAATTATCTTACGAATTTTCAATTTTCTTAGAAACCATTCGATTTTTACGATAATCCTCTATGATATCTGTAACAGTTGGCTTCCGTGGCAAAGGTACTAACTAATAAAAAAAAAAAAATCAAAAAAGAAGACAACAAAAATATATATATATATATATATATAAATAGAAAATTTTTTACCAACTGATGTGTGTGAATGTTTTGCCAATCACGGAACAAAATAGCTCTAAGAGGTTCAGGAACTGTTATAATCTCCTTCGGCTTTGGTTTTTTGACAACTACTTCCTATTATCCATTATAAATGTATATAGGAAAAATATTCATTTAAACATATTTTTGAAATTATAAAAATTGAAAAATTCTAAAAAAGTACATACCTTTTCCTTTGGAGTCGGTTCTCTTTTCCTTTTTCTTGTTTTTTCTGTAGGTGAATCATTAATAGTTCTTTTCATTGCGGGCTTTAGCTTCTTTAGAGATCTTGACATTTGTTTATATTTCTCCAAATTTGCTTCATTACATTTTAATAATCTTGATTCATCTACCCATTCGTCCCACCTATATAAAAAAATAATCACCAATTTTCATATTAAAATCATTTAATTGAGTGTATTTAACAAAAATCAAAATACTTAATTATATAAAAAATAACATACGAAGACTTCCATCCCGCATAATGTATATGATAATGTGGGCCTATTGAACCTGTTTTTGGGTGTCTATTTGGTTCAACATAATATTTGGTATCTACTATCTAATGAGTTTATATATTGAATTTTATAGTTTTTTTTTTCAATTAATAAGTTCTTATAAAGTTTATTAAAAGACTTTATAAACTATAAAACCTTTGCTTCGTAAATGACCTTCCCATGATAGCAGAAAACTTTCTCACCGTCTCGATAGAGAAAACCATTATCTTTCGACATAATTTTTTTTTTTAAAAAAAAAACTCAGGAAAGGAAAACAATAAATAAAGTTTAGGAATAGGCTGTATTGGGTTGAGTTGATTAAAAAACTATAAAATACATACGTATGGTCACACAAACATATATTTATATAATCATGTGATTATTACGTATCAATTTAATATAACCTTTTAAGCCGGAATTATTATTAGAAATTTAAAAATAGTTATGATTTTATACTTTCTTACATAATTACTTACTTGGAGTGTATTTTTTTTATCTGAATTCTTTACCATTGTTGACTATTGACAAATAATATTTCCATATTTTCATGATTATGATTATTATTTACATGTATATTTACGTGATTTTGATCCGAGGCGCTCAAATTTTTTAAAAAAAAAGAAACCAAAAATTAAATAAATTAAGTTGAAACAGAAAATAAAAATTAAAAATTTGAAAAAAATTACTTAAAATTATAAGGTTTCAGTTATAAATGTATATACAGTATATATATATATATTATATATATATACTGTATATATAGAAAATTTAACAACTATACTAGACTAATACTTCTAACCAAGAAAGAAAACTTTATCATGACCAGCTCCTATTTTTTCATATAAATTTTTAATCATTGCCTTCTAATATATATGCTTTTACTAGTACATAATATGGTTAATTGTTTAAATATAATACAAATAAATATGCTATTAGATTTAAAAAAATAAGAAAATACTTCCTAAATTTTTAGTAGAATTTTTAGTTTACACAATGTGTAAATTTATTGAAAATCATCCAAGTCATTCCAAATTTGGGTAATATATAAATAAGGGTTAGACACCATGCTAAAATAAAATTCAGGTTAATTATTCACCCGGATCACTACCATCATAAAACGTGAATATACAAGAATTTACTTCTTACAAAAAAGTAATGAAATAGAACGCAAGTCATAATCAGTCATAATCATCTTAAAATATTTAAGATATTTTTAAAACCATTCCGTAATTTTATCAACAGATGATGCTTGTTAAAAAAGATGAAAAAGTTAAAAATAGTAGCTATGATATAATTTCACTGTATTTCACTGTTACACGAATCAGCCTTGATCTCGGTTCCTGCCTGTCAGCCTCATCAAATATTCCCGTAAATGGTTTTCTTGGAAGATTCGATTGCGACATTACTTACGGTAATTCAATAGATTGAAGTACAGTATATAGATCAGCATAGTTCACCCTTTCTATAGAGAATTTATAATTCTAGTTCATTATATGCCAGTACTAATTATTTATAGCGAATTTACAATTAAAAAATTCGTTATACCCTTTTAGTTCTCTACAAAAAAAACTTGTTATGGTAAGAGAGAATTGTATTACCTTACATAAGTTCTTTTAATTAATTTCCTCCTTTAGATAAAGTTCAAAAGTACAGAAATGCTTAATAATGGTATGGTATTACACGTCCGATAATGAATCGGATCATCGCATATAGTCATATTCCACATTTAGGTATAATTATCAAATTTTACACATGCTCCCTCTTATATAATACCCCGCGAGTATTATATAATTTTCAAATCAGACAATACTTCCAGATTGTATTAACGTTACTTCCTATAATAATGATTACTTTAACTACTACAAGAGTCGCCCGTTATAACGACATATTATTGTATGACATACCATTTTTGGATTACTTTGATGTCGTTATATTTTAATAGCTCGAAGGATAGTTGTTTGTAGTTCAGTGACATTTCAACCGCCATATTTACTTTAGGTTGTTTGAGTAGACTTTTTAAGTTTATCCACATCTCTTCCCATAACATTAACTCAAAAATTGCTAGACAGGCTTATAGTATCATGTCTTTAGAAAAAATATTACCAAAAAGTTCTAAGAAACACATGAATTATTGTTTTTAACGTAGTGTTATTAATTGATAGTATAACGATAACATTGAATTTTCAATTTAGACGGGTAAAAATGTAATTAATACCACGAAAAACTGGATCGATAGTTTGAAAAGTGATGAAAATTGGATCCGCGGTTTTCGCAGTGACATTGGTTTAAATTTTTGCAGCATCCGAACATCTTTTATCAATTATATATAAGAGAGCATATGGTTTCATAGGTTGCGCACCAAACTTTTATGAATAATGTGCGCTCTACGCGTATAAATTTCCAACACTACTAGTTACAAAATTCGTTACATCCGAAAAAATAGTGTATGTTGAACCACAGTATCTTCGCGATCCAAGTTATGAGCGATATATTCTTTTATGAAAGTTATCAAAAAAGGATGGGGAAATTGAAATTTTTAGGTAGATCGGTTCACGTAATTCCGTTGATATCCTACGTGGATCTACGTAGAATTTTGTGGATCAACGTCGAAAATACCATGTGTTTCGTCACAGGATATTTGGAAAATATTGGAACTATTCAGATTTCCACATAATTCCTCAATATTTGGTGTGGATTTCCATGTGGATTTCCATGTGGACTGATGAATATGGTTATTGAACTAAAATGTTAATCATATTAAGAACGTGTTTTTGTGGAATTGCCCAAATGCTCTGCAAGTGTATGCAAATGATCCATGGCATGAATTTTCCTTTAGAGGATATATTTATTTGTCAACGACATTAGGAAATTTTTTCATCCACTAAAAATCCACATGGAAATCCACATGGAAATATGTGGAAATCAGAATAGTTCTAATATATTCCAAATACCCTGTGTGCATCCGCGTAGGAGCGTAGGATATATGGGAATGTATGGAATTCCACATATTTCCGAACTAACCCATGTGGAATTACATGGATCGATCTACCTAAAAATTTCATGATGGACTTTAATATAGGACTTAATAATTATGTCCCAATAAAATTCAATTTAAACATAACAACATTATTATTATTTCAATTTCTCTTTTGCCGCATTATTTCTCCAATTCGCAATTGTTATTTTTTACTTTTTTGTCTAATTCATTTTAGCGGCGCGAAAAACGCTATCAGAACACATAATTATAACATGTAATGAAATTAGCATTTTAATAATACATATTAGCACATTATATAAAGCATGTGAAGACGTGCGTGATTGCCATTCAGTAACTATTATAATTAATGTCATCAACACATTTGTAGTTTCATACTGCATTCGCCCAATTAGCAATTGCCCAATTAATAAAATAATTGATATGAATTTTTCAAAGTATAATAAAATAATTATTTATAAAATTCCTTGTAATAAAGATAATTTATTTTACAATTAATAAATTTGCGCAGCGCATTCTATATTAACTCGGGTATAATATTAATTCGAATTATATTATATATTTTCGGTAATTCATCTGAAAAAAAAAATTTACTTTTTATGTATGAGGTTTTAACTATGAATAATTTAAAATAATTTAAAATATTCTTAGACAAGAAGATTATATAAAATCGGGAAAAAGGTGATAAATGCCATTATTAGATTTTATAATAAATTAATTTCACATTTTTATGGTAGGATTTTCTCATTTTTTTAAAAAAAGGCATCTTTTCCATTTTTTTCGAAAAAAAAAAATTGAATATTTGAATTATGTTAAAAACGATCAAAAAAAATTAATATATTTTAAGATAACACGTTTATTTTTACTTTTTAAAATTACGTGAATATCATACAAATAATACGCTTATGTGCATTAATTATATAAATTTTGTGAATATGTTTAATTCATGAAAAAAATTATAGAATAATATAAAATACATCAATATTTTTTTTTGCAGAGTGAATGAGTGAATCCTTTTTTTCTGTCTATAGCAATTGGTACAATATACAAATGCATTTTCAGAATTGAATGAAAATGTTCTATCTCGATCGACCCTATAAAAATTTTATCCGTTATTTCCGTAAAATGAGCCTTTCACGGACCATTCACGGAAAATGTAAATAATTTGACAGTAAGGTTAGGGCACTGTCAGATATTACCTAATATCACTTTAATATAAGAGCTTACAGGTAAGATATGTTATATATATAATTCCTATATAGTATTGTATGTAACCTAAGATCTTTAGTTACCCCCTCTCCCCCTAAAATATTAGTAATATCTGACAGCACCCTTATTAGTTTCGGAAATATGAATACCCTTTTACGGAAAAAAAAAATGGAATATAGAAAACGGATCGAATTTTTTTTACGGGGCGACAAAATGCAAATGTCAAATGCCGGTACTCAATCTACATATGTCTTGTTTAGCAATTTCATTTCATTATAATAATGACAACAAATGACAAACAATAAATATTATAAATCAAAATGCCGATGAAAATAGTAATAAATCAAGAACATTGATTTAATAGTCAAATGAAATCAGCTTTCTTTATTAAGTAACAGTTGTTCAGCAGGATCGAAACAAGTTGTATATCAAATTTCATGAGTGCAAGTGTAAACGTATTTATTTGCATATAACAGTATCCTTTAATTCTCATTCTTCATTAATTAATTACGTATTCACGTTCGCTACAATTGTCAATCCATATTAATGAAATCAATAATTAAAAATATTATCGAAATCTTTTGAAATAATTGAAATAATCGCCAATCCGTCGTTGTCATAATAAAAATCGGGATGATACTTCTCCGGTTTTGCGGCTAAAGTTTGGAACATATTCTTTTCCCAGAATTCAATGCCTTGCTCGTCAAACAAAGAAATGAACAAGGAAAAGATAAATCGGAAACAGGCTCGATTTTTGTTTCAGTCTCGAATTTCTGTACGATTAGCTGAACAATTTGATGATGCGATTCGCAGGTAATTGACAATAAATTCACAAACGATAAAATTGCGAAAATTCATTAAATTCATTAGATGCCGTAAAAATGATACCATATACGCAACAAAAACTCAAGGAAGAGTATATGACTATACGTTTTGTTATTATAAAGAGTTTACATCTTACGCGCGTCAGACTTCACGATTTGTAAACCAAAAATTCACGTAAACCAATTTAAATGTAAGAATTATACCATCCATATATGCAGAAATATACGCAGAAAAATTCAAGGAAACGGAATAAATTAAAAAAATCTACAAGAAAATTTTCATGATATTTAATTCTTAAATCACTTAAAATCTTCATACAAATTAGAATCAAATTTTTAACTATTTCTTTCTGCTTTATATTTTTTATATTAAACCATCGTCATACTTTTTTTTTGATGTTTACCTTTGAATTGGCAATTAAAATATTTGAAATAAATCATCATATTAAATATCATACTAAATCATCATATTGTTCCAAATTTTTTTTTTGATTAAACTTGCAATAATAAAGAAATCGATTTTATTGATTTTGATTATTTCAAAGAATTTTACAGTAATTTTTTTTTTGACAATCTATTATTTATACGTGAGATATATATAACGACATGACATATTTTAATGATATACAGTAAATTTTTTAAAATTCAAAGTTTCTAACTTCCCAATATGCTTGGAATGCCTGGTAAAAAAAAAATTGAAGAATGGAAGAGTATGATACGATATGCCTAACTTAAATGGTAATAAACGGTAATAATACAGTACTATGATTTTGCTTTATACTTTCGTTCATAACTCTATAATTTGTGCAAAACAGCTTTTACGCAAAACTTCATAACTCTATAATTTACAAACTCTAAAAATTATAAATTCGTTGATTCATACATTTTTACCATATTTTTCCCGTAAATTCCCGGAATTTAATCAATTTTTATTTGGCCTCCAAACTTAAAGGCCCAACAAAATAAGGGGGTAAACCTCTATATTTTTATTGGTAACCAATGTTTTCAATTCTTCAATTAAAGCCATAGCCATAGCCCATAGGGGAACAATAGATACCTTTGAATATTAGGGCAATACCTTACAAAGGGTCTACCGCCTACAAAGGGTTTACCGCCTAAAGTGCTTTCCAAGGAAATTTGGATTTTTTTTTTACCAAATTTATCATCAAACAATCATGTTTCAAAAATGTTCAATAAACGGAAATATTCGGAAAAAAGAAATTTTTTTTAATAATAAACATAGTAAGAAATTTCCTTTTTTTAATTCTTTTTATTTATTTATTTATTTTATTTTATTTTACACTAGGTAACGATTTCATTTGTACATATCCTTTTATGTATTTATATTAGTAAGCCTTTATATTTATTTTTCTTTACTAAAAAAAAAAAAAACGCGTTATTCTTTTTCCTTATTATGTTTGGATAATCGATTCAAGTTTTTTTTTTTTTATTTTTGGAAAATGAGGTAGAATAACATTTGATTTCGAAAAAAATCTATGAATTTTTTTGTAATATAAATTGATTATTTCATATTAAATCATATCCCGGTAAATACCGAAATTGACGCCTGCTGAAACATTATTCAGCATCGTTAGTCACCGTACACTATTAAAATCCACAAAATTCCGTTTGTTCGGGTATCATAATCTTGTAATAATAATAATTAATTAAACAAATACGGTAAAAAAAAGTTATGGTTAAAAAAAAAAAAGTACGATAAATTTTTT